TTTTAGAGGGAGGGACTCTGTCCTCTCTGTCCTCAACCTGATCCATGCTGCTCACTTCACATCAGCTCACACACCTGGAGCTGCAGCCAAGAACACACAGCATGAAGATACATTTACATTCACTGATTCACACACTTAGGATACAATAGCTGCTTCCCTCTTTTACAGAAATAAATGTGATACTAACTATATCTAAGGTAAAAAAAACCAGAAAGAACAGATTCTTGAATGTTTTAAGTCAAAATATTACAACTCTGAAAATAGAGAGTTGCAATACTTCAACTCTGCATAATGTGAAGATTTCATACCTCTGAAAATCTGAACCTCTGGACCTGCTGTGTTTCTAAACCATCAAACTAATTGATTAAATGTTCAAATAAAACTTCACACAATTAAATGCCAGGAAAAATAACATTTTATATAATGGGGTCATCTTATTTGAAAGGGTTCCACAGTAAGTGGATACATTGCTGTTAAATTGACATTAAAGGAGAAAATGAAAGTTCGATTTAAAGCTGTTTGTTTAGTGAAGAACAAACATCAGCTGCTCCTCATGTCGACCGTTTCAGACAACAATCTAATAATCCTGAAGATTTTCCTTCCTATTTAGTAAAACTAAAACTCTACACTGGAATAAAAGCAGAACCTTTTCTAAAAACCACAGAGAGCAGAAACAGACTGTTAAAGGATTAAACTTCAGCTTTTAATATAAAACAAAGTAATCTTATGGTGTCTTTAGGCGAAGCAGAGGACAGACGAAGGTCTGACGAAAACAGGCTCTGAGATGGAGGCATGTAAATGAGAACCAGTAGAACCAGTTTATCTGCAGCTAGAACTTCACCTGAGATGGATGCTGGGCAGGTAGGAGGAGTTAAAGGGAGGGACAGTAACCATGACAACAGACCAGGACTTTTCACTTTGAACTCACAGGGCATACATAGGTGTACATTTTTGAAAGACTGGTGGGGACAGTCCCCACCAATAACTTGCATCCTTGTTCATCTTCTACTTCACATTTTATTTTGAACTAAGAGTTACAAGACAGGTTGGTTTAAAAAAAAAGAGATGCCATGGAAAAAGCCTTTAGACAACTGAGCTTAAACAGAATAAACAGCAGCAGAGTGTTTATGCTGTGCAGGTTAGTATTAAAAAGCATTAATTCTGACTGAACTTTGTGATTAAATGTTTTGTTCCTCTTCACTAGTTTAAAAAAACTATTCCTCTCAGCTCCTCAGAGGATAATC